CCACCGGGGCTGTAACACGATCGTGCCTGCTCCATACCCACACAGATATTTATTTATCCATACAGGCTTTCTCCTTGTTTTCATTAAGTTAGGCAGAAAAGGTTAATCTTTCTTCTGCTAAAGCTTCAAAACCAACCAGGCTAAATAAAATATGATTTCTTTCATTTCTTTTTTTAAAGGACACTCTCTCTCTCTCTCTCTTTTTCTTTTCCCCTTAAGTACCAGAATGAGGTCACAGTCAGAGATGCCACAAGAGTAAATTGAAAACAGGTTGAAAAAAAGCAAAAGGGAGAAAGACAAAGAGAGAAAACCACAATCAGAAGAAAGTGACTGGTAACATTGCAGGGTTGGTTTCATCCAGTCTAGTGAAGAAGCTGTCAAGACACAGACATTGGTGCCTTCCTGCTTTCCCTTTCATGCTCTTTCTAGGAATCTCGAAGGTGAATCGCAGCAGGGAGGTCTCCTCTCGGCTTCATTTCTGCTTTGATTTTCACTGCCTGGGTTTAGTCCGTGCTGCTCTTGGCTGAAGGTGTGGGAACACCTGTGAGGGTCCCAAAGCTTCCTTCTGCTCCTCCAACCTCCTGGAGGCTCCTGGCCTCGCTCTTTTGTTTAGTCTGGTTGAACTCAACACCGTAACTCTTGTTGTCTTCGGTGGGATGGTTGGTGGGTGATTCATCCCGCCTGCCGGCCGCAGCTGCTGGGCGCTGGCACGGGTCGTGGTGGAAGGACTGAGGCAGACTAAGACTGTTGGATGCTGCAGGCAAGCAGTCTGAGCCTGCTGCCATCCATTTTCATTCCTCAGTCCCCGTTCCTGCCCGTCTGAGCCTCCTGCCCATAGCAATCGCTCAAGAGCAGCTTGCCAGCTCAGCCTTGCAGGCAGGCAGCTGAGTCGGGGGTATCCTCCTCTTCCGGACCAGACTTCAAGTTGGGTTCCCAGGTGGCTCTCCCAGAGCCATCACCGGTGGGTTGACTGATATGCTGTGGTGTGGCCAGACCCGCTGTGGCTGGGAGAAGCTCGCAAAGCTTCACAAAATGGGGCTAACCCCACTGCAAGCTCCGAGCATGCTCCTGTTTTCCTTTGGTTTAGGGAGAGCTCTGACTCACCACAGCACCAGAATCGATATAAGAGGAGGTTTGCCAAACCCCACGGGGACGTCCTCAGAAGATGACAAGGCAGTAGCAAGTGGCTGCACTTGAGAAAGAAGGAAAATGCCACCTGGAGAAAGCTGAGTCTTCGCGGCAGTCGTTAGTGGAGCAGAGATCGATTTTCAAAAGCTGCCTGGGGAATTGAATGGTTTGGGTCAGGCCAGTCCTGGGGAGGCAGTGACATGGAAATGTGGGGAAAAGAGAGTCTTGCAGGGATTTGGTGTGCAGGTGGCAGTGTCAGCATCCCATTGCTGAGCGTGGTTGCCTCATTACCTGTAATCAGTGTGCAGCAAGTAGCATCTTGTGCACAGCACTTACCATAGGGATGTTGAGCTCTGGTCTGGATTTTTTACTATAGAGAAGTGAGCACAGGTGAGGCGTCCTCACAGGAGCTGGTCATTTGTCCTCGATATCTGTAACAGCTTATTCCTTTATTTAGCGTAACATCAATTATGTATTACTATTAATGAAGGACACAGATGGCTGTCTGGTCAATAAAATATCTCCTACTCCACAGAGATGATCTATTTAGCTATCATTTACTCTGCAAAGAACCTTTGGATTCTTTCTGAAATTTAATAATGCAAGCAAAGATGCTACGGCAATCTAGAAGGTTTGTGCTTCAGGGCTGCTTTGGGAGGCTGAAATCTTTCTTTATATTTGCTGGCGGAGTGCATGAGAACACAAGTACAGGCGGGGAAGAAAAGCCCCTTTGCTTTCCATCACAAGCTACTTATCCGTATAATCCCTTTTATACGGTGATCAAACTCCTCAAAAGATAGTCAGGTTATTTGCCCTTCTCAGGAGTAGACCATTTATTCATATCCAATTTACTTTCTCTTGCCATTACTGCCCATTAGCCTAAATATTTCCTTCCTGTTTGAGTGCCTGCCCTGTTGATACAGTCAGTCATGTATCTTTACTTGGCCTTTTGATGTCACTGCTTGTATGGTAAACTTGTGCTTTTTGTTCTTCCCTCTGAAGCCTCCTCTCCTGCTTTCTCTGTGCCTTGTCCGTAAGCACGGACGAGCAGTGCTATGGACTGAGCTCTCAGCATGTCCCTGTGCAGTTTGGTCACTATTCCTCCATTGCTACAACATCTCAAGACCACTTTTTGCTTGCAGGGCAATGTTAGTGGTCCATTGTCCTCTTGCAATGCCAGCAAATGCACTTGTTGCTTTCATTGCTTTCCACTGACAACGTCCCAATCTAAATCTCGGGATTTAGATCCCATGGCCCATGCAGCCTGGCACCACCAGCCAGCTCACCGCTGCTTATACAGGTGCACAAAGGCTCTCAGCCTTGGGGCTGAGGTTTCAGCATCTTTGCTAGCATCTGTTTTGCTATTTGTGTAAAAACCTCTTTGCTTTTGTTTGACCGCAGTAGGGCCAACGAGAGCGGAAAGTTGCCCGGAGGCTCAGGATTGAACATAAAACACCCTCTTGCTGGAGGGATTTTATTGCAGGGATGTTTGGCTTAACCCAAGTTGACGCTGCGTTGACCCAGGGAGCTTCATTTCCTCCTGTCCAGGGGGACAGAAACACTCTCCATAACTGGGGCAGGTCTGGTGGGACCCCCTGACAAACCACCGCTGTGTGACACAGGCAACACTGTGCTTTGAGGTGTCACTCACTGCAGCCTGCTCCTCTCCCCTCACAGAAAGGCCATGGATGACGTTGCCAAGATGAGCGCTCGGAAGTTAGTGGGTGCCTTAAGGAAAAATATCTGTGCAATTTTCATACACACTTTAATTCTATGGTTGCACATGACATTTTCAGTCCCATTTTCAGTCTCCTGCAAAGTCTGGTTCCACCCTCTGCACTCCCTGTCTCATCTCTTTGTGTTCTGTAGCACAGATAGCCTGGTCGATGCTCCTTGTACCTGGGGACGACCAGTCCAAATCTCCCCTTGGTCTTGCCAAGTTGCTCATCACAGTCTCTCTGCCCAGCTGTTTTCTTTGCTACCCTTCATCAGCTTCTGTCAACCATGAGTGCTCCGGATAAAAGAGTGAAATCCCACAGTAGGCACCCATGGAGTGATCTGTCCCCTGTGAAATTTCTTCCTGGTCAGAAAGGAGGTTGCATAAGACCTGAAGAAGTTTAAAAGCTCTTGCTCCAGCTCAGCAGCACAACTTGTTCCTGCTTCTTTGTTACGTGTTTGTAAGTCTCAGCAGTGTCCAACTTCTGGTGACAAGGAGTTCCTCAATCCAGCCTGGTGCTGTATGAAGAGAGATGGAAATGAAAGTTGGAAATGAGCAATGCAGTTTTGTTCATCTATTTAAACTGTAAGCACAGAGCTAAGGGGCTTGCTGAAGGCTGTTCAGTATTTGTGACTTCCAAACAGTGATTTTACCGCTGCCAACCCAACCTGCCCGTTGAGGTGACTTGGGGTTGGTACGGACCCGGGGCTGGGGACTGGGTTAAGCTGCAGAGAGCAGTGACAGAGCTGCCAGAGAAAAGTTTGGAAAGAACAAGTCGTGCTGGGAGCATTAAAATGAATAATTAAGGCTTGGATTCCTTTAGGGAGGAAAAGAATTTATTGCTGCTCTTTTCTCTAGCCAAGGGGGACATTTGTTACTGAGTTGTGTATTTTGAGACGAGACGCAAATGTGGTTTGGGGGGGCTGGGGAGGAGGGGATATTTTCTTCTACCTGGGTAATCCAGCCACACAGCGAGACTTCTGGGCTGGCTATTTCTTATAGTCTGTACCAAGAACCCAGACTTATGCTTCATTTCAGTAGTCCTCGGTCACTTTTGCTTTTAGAAAACTAAAGAGAAGTGCTGAGAAGGGAATTCGCCTCCTCCTGCTGCTGCGGTGTCTTGACATTTACACATGCCCGAGGTACCCGCGGTCCCATTTGCTTACACCAGCACAACTCGGATCAGCAGCCCTCTCTCTGATTCCCATCGATGGGAATGGGGACACAACCAGGGCACCTGCTCTGGTTTTGTTACTGCTTGGTGCCTTGGGTTTCCAGCTGTGGAATGGGAGTTGAACCGATAGACAGCCTGCCCGCTGCAAGGAGACAGGTTGCACGGCAGCGGATAATCAGGTGCCAAAAGCTTAATAAAATGGAGCATTTTCAGTTTCAGCTGGGTCGTGGTCTAAGTGTTTAATAAGCTTTATAAACCGAAGACCAAAAAAAAAAAAAAAGTTTTTCAGCCTTTTTAATTAGTATTTTTTCTTCTCTGAGTGCTTGGAAAGAGGCAAGTGTGCTTCAGCACAGCTGAAGGAGCTCCAGTCAGAGCTCCAGGAGCTGGCAGAGTGGATATGAAAGGGAGTGCAAAGCTACTGATTTTCACTGAATAAAAAATAATTAAAAAAAAAAATTTCCACGGTAGAGCAAGTCCATCCAAGTTCTAAAAATGTCTTCTTTCCTGATAATCTAACATAGCAGAAATACATTTCACTGTGACAGGTGATTTTTGAAAAAGCCCATGTGCCCTTTAAAAACCATCTGTGTAATTAGGGCAGGAGAGCCCTATTTAACCAGGCTCCCAGCTCTTCTGCTGGCTTGGAGTCTCCTTGGGTGGTGGTCCTGTGTGGCGGTTGCTGTGACTCCACATGTTGTCCATATGCTCTGACTGTTCACCCTTCTACTCTCCAAGCGAGGACTTGCTGCTGGCCCTGTTTTTTTGATGGGGTTTTCTGTTACAGCTGATGGTCCAGGTGTGTTTTCTGCTTGCTTTTTGGTATCTACATACAGTCTCAGACTCTCCTACCAGCCACAGCCAGTAACACTGTGTTGGCTGCCTGTGCTGTGTAGGTATGTTCCTGTGGTGGTTTCTAAATGGTCAGCGATAATTTTGCATGTGTATTGATGTTTTGGTCTTGCTCATCTCTTTGCTCCCCAGGAGAATCCTTGAGCTTTGCGGATGATTTGCTTTCTGGCCTTGCAACATCCTGCGTGGCAGCGGGTAGGAGCCACGGAGATGTCCCCGAAACCAGCCTCTACTCAGTTGTTTTCAAGTGCCTGGAACCAGATGGTCTGTACAAGTAAGGAGAGGCGTGAGGGGAGGAGCTGGGGGCATGGAGGGGTCTCCAATGCTATTATTTAATTGTTACTGACCTTTTTCGTCAGCTCTGTGTTACACCAGACACTGGGCAAACGATGAGATTCTTTCTGTTGTTTTGGTTGTTAGGCTCAGCTGGTGGAATGGAAAACCGATGTCTGCCAGTACAGCACTGGAGGCACTGGGAATCTGTGGGAATCTTTATTGACATAAATCACATTTTCAGTGTTCTGGGCTCCCAGGTCCATGCCTGTGGACACGGTTGTATCTCATGGGTAAACTGAGCTAAAGTGGTCAGACTGAAGGAAGTTGCCAAATGCTTGCTGGACTGAAATAGCCAGATGTGAAAGGTATGAGAAGTGGTGTTTATGTAAGTCGGTCTTTATGTTAGTAGGACACATACAGCAGATCAGAGAGACACCAAATCCATCTGCCCACCAACCAGTTAGTTCTGCAGGAGTGGCTGGTCAGGCCTGTGTCAATGTTCTTGTTAACTTGACTCCTCTGAGATGTTCTTTGAGCATGTGGGATTGGGTTTTCTGTTTGAATCCTGTGGAGTAATTAAGTGTCCAAAGAAAAGGGGTAATTTCAAGATCTGAAGTCTTGCCATTCAGTATCATTTGGAGGGTCTGGGCTTTTCAGCCTGGCTCATTAACCAGGGCATTCTCTGTCTTGAGGAGAATATCAGGAGTTAGGACAGTAAGAGAAAAAAAAAATAGAGAAGAAAGCAAGGGGATGGAGGAGCGACAGAGTAAGCAAGAGAGAAACACCCAGGGCTTAATGTCAGAGCAACTGTAATAATTAAAACACATTTTGCAGTGAGTCGTGAAACTTTTTATGGGACCACAAAAGCATTTAAAGCGAGAGCTGGCAAACGGCCTGTCAGCGAGAACTTTTCAAGATCCTGATTAATACTTTCCCTTTGCCTCCCTCTCCACCACCCCCCAGCTAAGTACACTGACAGCCTCCAAACCAGGAGGAGCCTTTATTGCACGTCTCTTGAGCAGGGCTGCCTCCAGGAGCGGGCTTCAAGTAATACCTCTTGCCATTTAATAGTTTTAAATGTCTTCTTGTTAAATATATATATATATATATGCATAAAT